ATATGCTACAAATATATATATATATAGCTCGCCAGATTTAGATCTTTACTGACACTCACCAAGCAAAAACTTCAACACCCCACCCCCCCCCCTCCACCCTGACAAACCTCTGATCGCCATAGTATGCCTGAGTGTAGTGGCACTCCTCCTCACCTCGGAGAATCATTTGCTCGTACTTGCCATCACCATATCTCTTTCCGTTTGAAGGAATCACATCCCCAGCCAATATGCCAGCTTTCCCGTTGGGCATATTAATCTGTGTGTTTGTTCCGTGTTGTGTGTGTGCGGAATCTACAGGGGTGTTCAATCCCATATCCGTAAGCGTGGGTGTCGAGGTCTTGGCGTGTACGTGCGCCTGATGCGGTCTATCCGTAGATGTTTGCGTGACTGTCTTGTGTGGTGTCCGTGTGGGTGTGGGTGCGTGTTGTGGTGTCATCTGTCTGTCAATAGCAGGAGCAAAAAAGGAAGTTATATTACTCGTCTGCTCCATATCAGATACACTATCACCCATCTCATTCCTCGTCTGCACTTGCGCGAGAGTCTGATACTCGCCGGCACTCTTTGGGCTTGCTAAGCTGTGCTGTCTATTGCTTAGGCCTCTCGCATGTGTGTACGTATTTGAATCGTTAGAGCTTTTAGAAGATGTCTGCCCTTGCTTGTCGTCCTGCCCTTCTGTGAATGTGCGTTGTTGGTTGTCACCGTGGCCGTTCACAGGTAGTTGTGCATGTGTACGACCATAGCCTTCATCAACTACCTGATGTTGTGCAGTATTGGCTACGTTAATATGTGTGTGTTGTGCCTGCACCTCAGTACGAGTGTTTACTGCTTGTTCTGTGTTTGTGTCCCGTATACCAAGTGGCGGGTGTGTTCTTTCATCGGCTTGGTTATTCGAAACGGTAGTATTGGATATTGATTGTGCTTTTTTTAGAACCGGGTCGATGCTGGTGGAGACCGGGACGTTGCCCTCTATATATGCGGCGAATCGCTGTAGTTTACGATGCAAACGAATTTATTGTAGTAATAGAACATGGATTAATAATAAAGTGCGTCACTGATATTAGTCCCCATCATTAAGTCTTTGCCACGAACTGCGATTCAAAGGCTCAGCAACAAACCATGAGCCAACACAGTAAGAATATATTTGATGACCTTGTTTTGTTCTATTCTGGCACATATAGGACCTTGATACCCCTGGAGTAAACATCACACCCGAGTTAATCCTGAAGTAAACTAATACTTAGCCATCTACGCTCACGAGCACAACTCCTACCTTATCACTGCTAATACGCTCGCATTGGAATATGCAGAATGTGTGTCTACCGATATATCGGAACGCGTGCTATTCCTTATTCTGCAATAATACTCGGAGCGTGTGATATCCCTGTCTATTACACTGCCAGACAAGTACAATATCTAGTATCTATCTGTCATACAAAAACAAACGGAAGATCCGAGCATATATCTAATGTTTTGCCTACTCCTCGGAGCGTGAACTAACCCTCTGCCCATAATATTATCAACCAAGCACTTTGATTGATCGGTACATTCATTGTGTGTTATGGGAAAGCCGGAGCGTGTGCCTATCTTTCGCTTAGTATAATACTCGGAGCGTTCGTTGACCCTTTGGCTTTGTAATTATCTACTAATCCAACCTATAATATTACTTGGAGCGTGCATCAACCCTCTGCAATTTGTTTACTAACCGAAGCAGTGAAGAATGTAAATATCTTCTACGGATAATACCAACAGAAATGTACGGAAATGTACGTAACCCCTCAAATTGCTAACTACAGCAAGTATACGTAAAAAATCAACCATTCACATTGTTGTCTAACCCTTGACGTATAATATTATTCAGAGCGTGTATTGCGTTCTGTCTACATTACTTCTACCAACCAGGAACACTGGTTGGTTGCTGTGTTGTATCGCTTTCCCACAAATTAGATCGTCCGTTAATTCTCAACCTTTGATATTTCTCATCCAGGTACACGGGCTGATTATTGTATAATATATAATTCATACTTACCAATGAGTTGGAGCGTATGTCAACCCTCTGCGATGTGCACTGGGGCATGCCTCGTATCTCTGTCATTGTTGTATCCAGTACCAACCCCATGGTCGTGTCATCCACCTCATTGACGCTGATGTCATCTGCCGCGATACCATGCGTCTCCTGATCCATAGCTATATCCATCACCCCGTTTTTACATATATCGTTTACCGTAGTACCAAGTGTTTCCGGATCCAAAGTAGTATCCTTCATTTCATAAACACTGGTGTTTTCTGCCGTAGTATTGAGTAACCCCAAATCCCCGGTAGCGTCCGTCACCCCATACACACTGCTCTCATCCGTGGTAGTGTCCCGTATCTCCTTCATGCACATGTCAAATGTGACACTCCTTGTGGTGTCCATCGTCTTCGTTCGTTTGGTGCGCATGGGTGCAGGTGGTTGTTTAGTTGTCACAGGCGCGCTGGAGGAGATGTAGTTCTGCCGTTTCTCGGATTGTGGGGGGTTCTGCTGGGGAAAAAATGGAAGAAAACTAAAAGCTTAAATACAAAAAATACAATGTATATCTTGTCTGTACTTACATAATAGCTTTATAGAGAAGATAACTCTCTACTGATATTGTCAGGTGCAAACTGGCGAGATGTGGTGCTGCTGTTTCTCGTGCGTAAAATTGGGCAGGAAATTTAAACCTCAACTATAAGGAAGGTAATGCATATGTTGCCCATGATTAAGTAGTATCTATAAAGGAAAAGTAATTTCTCCTGATATGATTGTCAGGTACAAACTGTTGAGATGTGGTGCTGCCGTTTCTCGGACTGTTTTGGATTCTATTGAACAAATCGCAAAGAAAATCGAGGCAATGGGTTTAGAATAGGGACTGAATATCCTTTCAACAATGACATATTTCTGAGCAGAAATCAAAGCTCCTCTTGCATATGCGAAATTTTGTAGCGAGGTATACTGGTGCCTGTTCTCGGTATGTTTGGATTTTAAAGTTTAAATGGAATTGATAGATGAAGAGTCGTATACAACAACTGGGTACTTTTATATTCACCCCAAAAAGGATTAGCTTTTATCAATATTGCAAGGTATAGTACAAAATAGAGATACGTCTCTATGTACACAGCTCCAATATATATGTGAGTACAAGACAGCCGTGCGGATGTTATCTACGCTCAATTGACCTCAAACGTATATTCGATGGAAAATCACGACAAATATAGACACACTTTCAAGATAAGAGAATATGTTCATACTATAGATACTTGCAGATTCGTGAAACCAAACCTCATAACAAAGAGGAACGCATCATGCTTGCAAAATACAGCAACCTTTTCTGTGTGAACCCGAAATGGTTTTAATTTTATCGTTGGCATCCTGCATCTTGAGCCATACCTGTGGCGTTTTTCTTGCGGGCGAGAACATTTTTACTTCGATGTCCTCGTCGTTGTCATCTGTTACTTCGGCACCATCCGTGCGCAGGCGTAAAAATCGGGACGATATCGGAACGGTCGGAACTGGAGAACCTCGATAATTGCGCGTACAAGCAATCGACGTTAGCAAATATACAACTCCTTGAGAGCGGTTGCAATATCTACTTGACGTATAAACATATGCAAACTCGCGAAATATAGTGCACAGTATATGGTGTTTGCAATTGCCTTAAGTAACCAAGATTTGCTTATGACGGCCAGGTCTGCACATTGGGAACCAGTTGGTGTCCACTAAAGCTTTCTGGGTTGAAATGCTCCACATTTGTACCATTCACAGTACAAAAGCCTAGACAAATACATCCAATTTTGTATCAATGTATCACTCCCCACGGCAATATCTACTCCATAATCCACACGCAAGCACTCTGTATCTGGGAGATTCTCTCCCGTTGTAAACTTCCCACGGAGTATTATTTGTTTGAAGGAAAATTTGGTGTCGAGAACTTAGTTGAAACGTGTATTGAGTTTCTCGTGTATTCCACAGATAATTATTACATGCTGCGACTACCCTTCTGAGATGATTCGTGTTGATCCGTATCTTTTTTTTTGGGGGATTTAATTTGAAGCATCCGGAATATGCGTTGTATGATGTCATGCGTCTACAACGTAAGGGTTTTTCTTATTGCAAGAACCGTTTTATAACTCCTCATGTAGATTATCTTGCTTAATGTTGTCGTACTTACCAATTGTTGGTTGTCACACATACACGTTTCGATAGTCACACATACAATCGGCAGTTTTTGCACTCACCAAATGGCTGTTGCCGTAAAGGCCAATTACCCGCCTGTCTTGTATACTAATTGCCTGTGATAACACATACCAAATATGTGCTTTCGTACTTACCAATAGTCTGTTGTCATATACACAAATTCTACCTTGTCGTACACACCACTTCCCTGTTGTCGCATGTACCAGCCAGGCTGTTTCCATACATACTAAAGGTATGTTGTTGAGCATACCATTTGGCTGATGCCCTATAAAGCTATTGTCCTCTGTCGTACATACCAATGCCAGTTATCGTGCACACCAGTTGTCCAAAACTACGCACACAAATTGCCTGTGGTTGTACATATCGAATACCTGCGCTATTGTATACCAACTGGTTAATGACGTATATACCAATTTAACGGTGTCGTACATACCAGCTGTTGTTGTCGGCTTTTGCGTACTTTTGCTGTGCCGCGCCTTTTTCGTAACACGCCCGTTAGAAACCCCAAGATCCAAAGTGGTGCCGCGTTGGCGGTGTCCCGCTGCTACTATATGCGCCTTCCTGTAGTGTCAATTGCTTCAAATTAATACAGGTTTGTTTGCGAGATACGGGTAGTGGATTGTTTCGATTTAGCAAAGACATCGGGTGGCATTCATGCAAAGGGGATGACTATATATTAGCGTATTTTTCGGTGGAGATGCATGTGAAATGGGTCTGTATATACAAGTTCATGTATTAGTTAAAATTGCTGTGAAACGACCAGTTGTGTATAAAGGAACCGGCTGCAAAATCAGAGTATGCATAACCCGAATTCTATCCAAAAGCAACGCCTCTCTTTTAGTCTCGCACGATGTCGCACTGCGTAAATTTATAATGCAGCAATATAAAATAGCCCCCAAGGAGTTAGTGTACTATGCGCGTCAGATATATGTATATATGTGTGTGTGTGTGTGTTTGTGTGTGTGTGTGTGTGTGTGTGTGTGTGTGTGTGTGTGTGTGTGTGTGTG